TACGTTATCTATAATAAATCATTGTTTTTGTGATGTATAACTGCGGGTAGTTTACAAAATGTTTAAAAGTAATGTTCGTGTTATTCGATGACGTCAGGCTAACACCTGGTCGGTTGTTTGTGAATTGTATTGTATAAAAGGGGGTGCGCTGTAAAGCGAGGAGCAGTGGCTCTGGAGCGATCGTAGGGTAAACGCTGGTGGAACGTTGTTGGAACGTTGTTGGAACGTTGTTGGAACGTTGTTGGAACGTTAGAGGTTTCAGAATATGTTTAAAATCGTATATCTGTATTAATACCTATAATGCGAACGTTGGTTGAACATTGGATGGTTCAGGTATGATGTACATTATTATATTGTAATAAATAGGTTGTGAGATATTATGTACTTTTTATTATATTGAATTGGCATCAATATATGTCAATTAAGTATCGTAACCTTGTGTAATATATAGATAAATATCTTCAAATTAATATATAATTGGGGTACCATTATTTGTTAGATTCCTAGACGTTTTTATATAATAAATGTGTTGCCGTTATTATGGGAAATACGTTGCTGAAGTATAACATCTTGTTTAACGAAATAGAATAGCTTTTGACAGTATATCTTCTTGTTATTTACATGTTATCCTTAAAAATCTCATATAAACCAGTGTCTATAATCATATATTAGGTCTTCTTTATAAAAAAATCTAACATCAGAAGTGGGATCGATCAATACAGTGAATAAAATACCTCACACCATGTTTGCTCGTCTAGTTATATATACATTTGTTTTTCTTCTTATTATGTCACATTGTTTTTTTTTTTCTCGTTTTGTTTTTTTTTTTGAAATAAAGATAATAACGTGTACATTAAGTACTTATAAAGGGATATGACACGTAAATTTGTTAAATATATATCGAGATTTTGAGGATGCAGATGGATTAGGATTATAAATTTCTAAAAAGAAATCAGCAACGTATTCAGATACTAGCAATAGATTTTGTGCTTAATTTTGTTTCGAATCGTTTTAGCCGAACATAGTAAAAAAAAAAAAAAACCCTCACTTTGGATGAATAATCGAGATAAGTATCCAAACTAATACATCAAGTACAAGTTTCAGAGAATTATGGACGATCAGCGACAACATCTTTAACGTAGCCGGGACTGCTCGAGACGTGATGAAGTGACACATGGCCTTCCAACACTGCTCCGTAACCAGACGAGGAGCCCTGAGAATTATGGACGATCAGGGGGAACATATGCAGCGTAGCCGGGACTGCTCGAGACGTGATGAACTGACACACGGCCTTCGAACACTACTCCGTTATCAGACAAGGAGCCCTGGTGAGGACGTGAGCGAAATCATCCTTAGCGGAGACGTATAAAAGGACTTTACGAAATAGTTTTCTTGCTATCAAACGATCTCTTTTTTTTGAGGGGAATTAGTAATTTGGTTTAATACATTAATTTACGCAAGAAATACATTTTCACTTAAGCGTAAACACAATATTATACATTACATGATATTATATGCGAGTAGGTAGGAATTTACAATAATAGTTTGGTTGAAAATACTTCCCTGATCTATTTTAAATATAGATATTTCTAATAATACACTATTACACAATCGGTTTCGTCTTTAGCGGTAAAACTGCTTTTAATAAATAATACATACTAAATAATAAGATGGTGCAACTTTGTGGCACATTGTAGTTTGCATTATTTAATCTTTTTAACGATGCTAAGAATATAATGTTTTAATTTCGTTTTAAATAATTTGTATGATTTAATATTTTTAATAGTTCTGGGGAAGTGTTTCTATGTTTTAGCACCATCATGCAGTATGTTATTTTTACGATAGTTAGAAACTTTATTTGTGTTTAGATGGCTCCATTTAATATTTTGAGTACAAATATAGGAATACTATAAATGTAGATTTGATTGATGGTCATAAGTCGATTCTCTTTATAAATCGTATCAGTTGAAGTTAAGTAATCGTAATATCAGTTATTTTGAGAAAATTGTGATGGTTTAAGATTTGTTTTTGGCAGCAGTGCCCCAGACCACAATTAGATAATTTACGTATTAGCACAGTTGCAAAAGAAAAATTGCGATGTTATTAGCCTAGAGAAATGATGGACGAAAATAGGGACGAAAATTGTTCTTAGTTGGCTTCTATTATTGTTAATTATTTACTAATGTACTGTTATTTTTAAGAGAGGTGATAATTCGAAACGACAAAAAAAAAAAGCCGCTGGTCGACTGTTTGCTTGGTACTAGTCCATACCACTTGCAGCGGGTGAGTGGGCTAGTGCGTCTAGGTAGACAGTATAAAGAATAGAAGCCGCTGGTCGACCGATTACTTGGTACTAGTCCAGACCACCGGCAGCGGGTGAGGGGGCTAGTGCCTCTAGGTAATCGGTATAGGAATACCTCCGCTGGTCGCTCGATTGTTTGGTGCAAGCAAACTAGACTCATAAGCAGCGGATGAGGGTTTCGACACGTCTATGCAATCGAGAGGTATAAAAAAAAAAAGGGAAAGATTAAATAATAAATATTCGATTCTAATAGATTACATATTTCAAGTATTAAAAAACATTATATTTGTGATGTTCGATTCAAATTATCACCAACAATCCTATTTGTAAGTACAAGTGTTCTGAGAACAAATAATGTGTCAGTTTGGCCGTAACGGATTATTTGAATTATTTTGAATATTTATATAATTAAACTTGGTTATAATTATCACCAACAATCCTATTTGTAAGTACAAGTGCTCTGAGAACAAATTATATGTCAGTATGGCCGTAACGGATTATTTGAATTATTTAGAATATTTATATAAATAAACTTGGTTATAATTATTACCAACAATTCTGTTTGTAAGAATAAGTGCTTTGAGAACAAATCACATGTCAGTATGGCCGTGACAGATTATTTGAATTATTTTGTATATATATATATATAATTAAACGTTATCTAAATAATATATCTATATTATTTAGATACTACGTTATCTATAATAAATCATTGTTTTTGTGATGTATAACTGCGGGTAGTTTACAAAATGTTTAAAAGTAATGTTCGTGTTATTCGATGACGTCAGGCTAACACCTGGTCGGTTGTTTGTGAATTGTATTGTATAAAAGGGGGTGCGCTGTAAAGCGAGGAGCAGTGGCTCTGGAGCGATCGTAGGGTAAACGCTGGTGGAACGTTGTTGGAACGTTGTTGGAACGTTGTTGGAACGTTGTTGGAACGTTAGAGGTTTCAGAATATGTTTAAAATCGTATATCTGTATTAATACCTATAATGCGAACGTTGGTTGAACATTGGATGGTTCAGGTATGATGTACATTATTATATTGTAATAAATAGGTTGTGAGATATTATGTACTTTTTATTATATTGAATTGGCATCAATATATGTCAATTAAGTATCGTAACCTTGTGTAATATATAGATAAATATCTTCAAATTAATATATAATTGGGGTACCATTATTTGTTAGATTCCTAGACGTTTTTATATAATAAATGTGTTGCCGTTATTATGGGAAATACGTTGCTGAAGTATAACATCTTGTTTAACGAAATAGAATAGCTTTTGACAGTATATCTTCTTGTTATTTACATGTTATCCTTAAAAATCTCATATAAACCAGTGTCTATAATCATATATTAGGTCTTCTTTATAAAAAAGTCTAACACGCGCGTGCGGGAAAGCGGTTAGTACAAAGCGACGGATTCTCCGAAATTTTAGATCTATTTAGCTATACTTATGTAGGTATATATTTATCAACTAATATTTTACTTACAAGCAATTAGAGTTTAACAGACTTAGTTACATCGGCGGACTCTACGCGTCAGCGCTCTATATTCTAAGAAACTCAGACCACTCTCAAATACTGAGTCGGCAAGTTGACGATAAGCGCATCCGCTTCACGGAGGTGTCTTATTCCAACAGTAGATTTAAAATATAATTAAGTTAGTCTTAGATACACTCTTGTAGAGAATAAACGTTTCAACCTTAAAACATTTATTTTTAAAAGATCCTCCGGCTCCCTCAAAACTTGACTGGCGCAGCCGGTAGGATTTCCGCGTCGCGAATAATCAAATAATTTAGTGACGTACGTTTTCACACGTTTTACGGAAATCCGCGAACCAAACAAATTCGTCAAGGAAAGTTCTGGAGGAAATCATCTAAGGCTCAACGAGGGACATGGGCAGTCTGTGAGTACATCCACATAGCTACTTCCAGACAAAGTCCTATCCTATTCATTATTTTAGTTATACGTATGAGATTATCCGAACGCTATTTCTAAAATCGAAGAGTGTTTTGTGATTTCTTTTAAATAGATTAAACAGTAAATATACATATTATATAAGTTAGTAGATTATAATTTTTTTTTAAGTCGGTTATATACATTAAATAATGGAAAAAATAGTGCAAATTCCACGCGATTTTGCAAACGTCATCCCCAAATTCGACGGTGACGAGAAATTGCTAAATTTATTTATAAGAAAATGCGAATATGTAATAAGTTGTTGTAGATTAGAAAACAATCCCCATCAGGATTTATATGTATTTCACATAATAACATCCAGATTAACGGGTAGAGCTGCCGCTCTTGTCAGTGAACGACAAGATTTAGATACTTGGGCCGAATTAAAACACGCGTTTGAACAACATTTCGGTGATCCTCGTTCTGAGGAATGCATAGCCATTGAATTGGAAACATTAAAAATATATAATGGCGAATCGCATCTAGATTTCTGTAATAGAATCCAACATGTCAAGAGCACATTGATTGCTAAAGTCAATTTAATTACAGACATAAATCTTCGTCGTAGTAAAATTATTATATATGATAACATGTCAATGAATGTATTTCTATATAATTTACCCGAAGAATTGCTACGCATCGTGCGTCTCAAAGGTTCTAATTCGTTAGAAGATGCTTTAAGTATAGTACTTGAAGAAGTTAATTTTATGACTCAATATAATTCTAAAAATAAAATGCTAAGAACTCAGAATTCATTACAGCCCAATAGAGGTCAAGGTATAAATCAAAATCCTTTCATAGAAAAATTAGGAATGAAACCTTTCTTTACTTCAAATCCGCAAGCCCAACAAGGTTTCAAATTCGGTGTTCAAGGTAACCCCACGACATCGAATTCTTACCATCCACAAGCTAACTTTAAATTCGGAATACCAACCAATAAGCAAATTAACGTACCCCCTGCACAACCTCAACAATTAGGATACAAGCCTCAACTCCAACAACAATTTGGCTATAGGCCGCAATTTAACCATGGTCAACCACAAATTGGCTACAAACCCCCACTAAACCAAAATTCAACCCAATTCGGTTACCGACCACAGTTCAACCAAGGCCAACAACAACAATTCGGTTATCGACCACAGTTTAACCAAGGCCAACAACAGCAATTTGGCTACCGACCCCAATTTAACCAAGGTCAACAACAATTCGGTTTTCGTCCACCACAAAAATTTGTTCCACAAATATCAACGGATGTGAGCATGCGCACCGCTCCCCCGTTAAAACCTCAAGGATTTAGAATGAACGAACTTTATAACTTAAACGAACCTGAAATTGACGACGCTAATTGCATATATGAGAACTCTGAAACAAATTATTATAATGACTGTAATGACGCATATCCTATAAACGACACTGAAACTTATGAGACTACAATTGATCAAGATGACCAGACCCCGAGTGTCCAAAATGTAGAAAATTTTCACATAACTTTATTCGACGGACCCCTGAAATAATAAAGCTCAATTATAATTCGCCAAAATTACCGTACATAAATATACCGGAAATTCATTCAAAATTCATGATTGATACCGGAAGTTCGAGATCATTTATTAGTCCCAAAAAGGCCGAAGAGTATTATCAAAATTTCAAACTTTACGAACCATTCGAAGTCATTAGCACCCATGCATCTAGCCGTCATGATGAAGTTGTAATAATACCTTTATTTCCCACATTTAATAGTACTGAAATACACAAGTTTTACGTTTATGACGTAGATGGCTGTTACGATGGACTCATTGGTAGCGACCTCCTTAAACAATTAAACGCCAAAATTGACATGGAAAATGAAGTTCTCTACACCCAATGGTCTTCCATACCTATAATTTACAACCCAAAAAAAGATGTAATAAAATTAGCCCCACGCTGTGAACAGAAGGTTAGGTTACCAATCGACTTACACAATGGAGACGCTATTCTGAACTACAAACTATTTTGTGAAGGCGTTAGAATGCCTACCGCTTTAGTGCGTTGCGAAGATGGATACGCAACGACAATCATACAAAATACCCTAGACCAAGAAATGACCTTAACAGTTACAGGACCTTTCAAAGTGACTAAATATGACAGTAATAAATGTAGTTTAAATAAATTAGACGACCGACATGACTTAGAGATTGATTCAATATTGACTGAAAATTTAACCAAGCTACGTTTAGACCACATGAACTCCGAAGAACGCGACGTTATTCAAAAACTTTGTCTAGAGTATAAAGATATCTTTTATTCCGAAAAGCTACCCCTTACTTTTACTAACGAAGTTAAACACCATATTCGTACACGAAATGAAGACCCTATATTTATTCGACCCTATAGACAACCCCAAGTAATCAATGAAGAAATCAACCGACAAGTAGAAAAAATGTTAGAAAACAAAATAATACAAAATTCATTTTCTCCTTGGAGTGCACCGGTTCACCTTGTGCCCAAGAAATTAGACGCTAGTAACGAAAAAAAATATCGTCTTGTTATAGATTACCGAAAGTTGAACGAAATCACAACTGACGATAAATACCCACTACCCAATATTACCGAATTATTTGACAAATTAGGACGCAGCTGTTACTTTACGACTCTTGATCTTGCCAGCGGCTATCATCAGATAGAAGTTGCTGAAGACGACAGGCAAAAAACTGCGTTTAGTACAAACACAGGACATTACGAATTTTCTCGAATGCCTTTTGGACTAAAGACAGCACCTGCAACTTTTCAAAGGACAATTGACAATGTACTACGCGGACTACAGGGTATTCACTGCCTTGTATACCTAGACGACATAATTATATATTCATCTAGCTTACAGGAACATATAACCAAATTACGGAGCGTTTTCGACAGACTCAGACAGACTAACTTAAAAGTACAGCTTGACAAATCGGAATTCCTTAGGAAAGAAGTCCTGTATCTTGGACACACAATAACAAGTGAAGGATTAAAGCCCAATAATGATAAAATTAAAGCCATTTTAGAATATCCATTACCTCACACTACAACCGAGATAAAAAGCTTTTTAGGTCTCATAGGCTACTATCGTAAGTTCATAAAGGATTTTGCTAAAATCACCCAACCCATGACAGCTCGATTAAAACAAAAGCGTTCAATGCCCGTAAATAATGATAAATATATAGAAGCCTTTCAAAAATGTAAAGAATTACTCGTTAATGCCCCTCTATTACAATATCCAGACCCCAACAAAACATTCATATTAACAACAGATGCTTCAGAATATGCCCTTGGAGCAATCTTATCCCAAGGCTCCATCGGAAGCGATAAACCGGTGGCATACGCTAGCAGGACACTAAATGATGCCGAAACACGTTATAGTGTTACCGAAAAGGAACTGCTTGCAATAATCTGGGCAGTTAAACACTTCCGACCGTACCTTTATGGAAAAAAGTTCACTATAGTCACTGATCATAAGCCGTTAGCCTGGCTTAATTCCTTAAAAGAAACTAATAGTAGATTAACACGTTGGCGATTACGTTTATCCGAATATGACTTTGAAATTATTCATAAAAAGGGAAAACTTAATTGTAATGCAGATGCACTCTCACGAATTCGAATTAACGCTACAGGAAATAACGAAAATGAATCTACTCGAGTTAATGTTGATATAGACGAAGGTAGGAACGATGAAGATACAATAGTCATCTCAGATTCAGATACTTCTATAAGACGTGGTTCTCCATATTCTATACCAAGCCCTTCTAGTTCAACCATTACCGCTTCTAGTTCAACCGCAACCGCTTCTAAAAATTCCTCTAGCACCGAAACTGTTCATTCTGGACAAGATACTGAATCTAAAGGTATCCCAATTTTGCAAGAAGCAATAGATACAAAGCCAAATCAAATCTTAGTATACTTCTGGTTTGTTGATAGATTAACCGTAAAAGACTTATCCCGAGAAAAACAAAAAGTACTTGAAGTACATTTGCCATTGAATCGAACCGACCTTGTCAAACAGTTTCTGAAAGAATACATAAAAAATAATACTAAATATTACATTTACTTTGAAGACGAACGACATAGGCAACAGTTTACGGAAATGGTAATATATCTATTTAAAAAGGAATCAGTTCAATTTTTCGAATGTACAAAAAGAGTAGTATACACCGACGATGAAAACGAACAGAACGACATAATGCGTAAATATCATACAGGCAAGACCTGCCATCGTGGCATTAGAGAAACCTTATCTCATATTAAGCGTACCTATTTTTGGCACAATATGGAACAATCTATCTCTAGTTTTATAAATTCATGTGAGGTGTGTAAACGCATGAAATACGATCGAAAACCACTTAAACCTGAACTTCAACTTACCCATACGCAATCAAAACCACTAGAAGAAATATTTATTGATGTGTTTTCTATTGACGGTCACTACTATCTGACAGTAATAGATGCCTTTAGTAAAATTGGCCAAGCCTTAGAAATCCCTAACCGAACAACCCCTGAGATAGTTAGAGCCCTTATTAAATACTTCTCCTTTTATGGCGTACCGTGTAAAATAAGTTCGGATCCAGGTTCCGAATTTAATAATGCTCTCCTAAAAGAACTTTTGACTCTTTACAAAATAGAACTTCATATTGGTACCCCTAACAGTCCCAATTCCATGGGTCTCATAGAAAGATTTCATTCCACTATTATCGAAATTTACAGACTAGCTAAATATGAACATAAATATACTGACGCTGCTACTGTGATGACGTATGCTATTATGGCTTACAACCACTCCATACATTCGACGACAGGTTTTACTCCATTCGAAGTGTTATTAGGACACACGGACTCTAGAAACGTATTTAACATAGAATTCGAAAAACAGTACATGCAACAATTAATTAAAGAACATGCGAAGAGAACTAAGTTCCTATATAAACATATATCAGAGCAAGCCATTAAACAGAAACAGAAAATAATAGAAAAAAGAGGTGGAGAAACAAAATTTAACATAAAACCCGGAGACACAATATTCGCGAAAGAAGTCAATAAAAGAATTAGTAAAGATAAACCGCGTTTTCGAAAGGCCGTAGTAACCGATGAAATTGTTAGAAATATAATTCCCATTGAAGTAAAAAATCGTAGTACTAAAGTTCCACTAAAAAATATTAAACGCCCTTCACAGGCACCTCCCCGTACTACTGACAGTGGCCATGATGTCCCAACTGCAGGCCCTTCAACTTCAGGCACTAAATAAAAATCCTGGAATCCTTCCAGTGAAGAATGGTATCGCAGTAATCAGTAGCGACAAGTGGATTCTAGCGAAAGTGTTAGATGTTAAACCACTGGAGGAAGAGCTACGGTTGAATGTTCAACATCTTTTAGAATTAGATAACTTAGTTAAGAATTGTTTTAATAGGGTAAGTTTTACAGAAAGTTTTATAGATATAAGAAACCAAGCGGATTACTTTAAGAAAATAACAGTAACTAAATTCATGCAAACTATTCCAACAGTTCGGGTTAAGCGAGGCCTTATTAATCCCCTAGGTTCACTTATTAAGATGATCACCGGAAATCTAGATAACGATGATGCCATTAGATATGATAAACTGATTAATGAAATTAAAAATCATCAAAGTGTCAATAATCAAAAATTAACGGTAGTCACGGAAATAGTGCAGCTTTTGACAAACTCTACATTTACATTGAATGATAACCTCAATCAACTTAATAGTAAAATCAACAATATAACAGGTACCAAGGAATTAGAAGATTCACGAATAAAACTTTTGAACATGTATAATTTACTTACACATAATTTTCAGTTAATTCATACCCGACTAAATGAAATTGAAACGAGCTTATCTTTCAGCAAGTTAGGAGTTTTACATCAGTCCATTATAGTAACGAATGATTTGTTATATCAGCTTCAGGAAATTAGTAGACAGGAAAAGTTAGCCTTTAACCCTAGCTTAGAAAATTTAATTAAAATAGAACAAAGTATAACGTTAAAGGCCTATTTGAAAGAAAGCCATATTACTTACCTTTTAGAAATACCTCTGATTGAAAGCGATACGTATATCTACTATAAATTAATCCCTGTACCTGTATTAACCCCAAATTCCACCGTTATCATATTGCCCAAATATCCATACCTATTAGCTAAAGGGATGAAAGTCAGACTGCTCACGCACCCATGCCGAGAAATCGACGAGTTCAAGTTCCTCTGCACTGACGACGGAACTCTCCAGTACAATCATGATCCTTGTATCGGCGATTTGATGACTTATACAAAGAATACGACGTCATGTACACCTATTCCCATAGAAATCGAAAAAGTAAGAGTTCAATTTCTTCAAACAAATAGATGGATACTTTATAGTAGAGACAGCGAACTACTAGCGAGAGTATGCATTAATGAGATATTCCGTCAAGAGATTCAAGGAACCTACATTCTTACCTTGGACGATCCTTGTGAAGTTAAAATCCAAAACGTCACGCTGAAAATACGTCAAATATACACAGAAAATCTAACGTATCCAGAGTTGCCAATAGTAAATCTGCCCTCAGTCTTCTCATCAAATGAAGTGAAACACTCTACACCTATAAACCTAAAAGGCGTGGCCCTGGATGATCTGCAGATCCTGTCATTAGCATTGAAGAAAAGCTTTAGTGAACCTGAGGTTTATGAAAGTGAAAAGGCAATTGTGAAAGTGCGTAGTGTAAGCGTGTGGACTCTTGGAATTTATGTTCTGATAATTGTAATACTTTGTTATACATTATATAAGAATTATTATCCTAAATTAGTCTTAAGGACAGGCGCTCGAAGTCCTCCCCAAAAGGATAACTTCGAACTTGAGGAGGGAGGAGTTACATCGGCGGACTCTACGCGTCAGCGCTCTATATTCTAAGAAACTCAGACCACTCTCAAATACTGAGTCGGCAAGTTGACGATAAGCGCATCCGCTTCACGGAGGTGTCTTATTCCAACAGTAGATTTAAAATATAATTAAGTTAGTCTTAGATACACTCTTGTAGAGAATAAACGTTTCAACCTTAAAACATTTATTTTTTAAAAGATCCTCCGGCTCCCTCAAAACTTGACTACTTAGCGAGATTATGTTTACGTTATGTCTTTTTAAAAGTAAATAAATATACTTCGCCGTGCCAATTTTATTTGTATTTATTATAACGCCACACCACTTCCGACACCGCCTAATTAAATTCTTTTTTGAATTCTATCATTCCTTTGTCGTTGTTAGATATTCATTAATATGAAATGTGTAAACAAATATATGTCATTACTATATTGCTTTATTGAGGTATAAGAGAGAATGTCAAACATCAGAATTTTTCTTAGGTACGTTCGGAGGCAAATTTCATAGCGGTTTGGCGTCTCGTGTGAACCAATATCCCGTGCCCTCTGCAATCGAGATCATCTTCGTAGCATTTGTTGCGGCAACATTTCTTACACAGTCGATAGCTACATTTACTGCCCTTTAACAAAAACACTGGGTTAATGAAGTTGAAATCCAAACAATTCTTCCGGTACCAGAATATTTAAAACACTTACGAGTGGATTGGGACAAACGTCATTAATGCAAATATCTGCGCCTCTGCCCGGTTGCTTGTCGGCGTCCGGTTTTATTGGTCTCCGCATGATTCTCGCGAGTTTTTTCATTTTCTTTCTCGATATTGAATTACTCCTCGGATCCTCTAAGCTTCGCTTTATCTCCGGATGATTCTAAAATGTATTGTAATATATAATGGCTTAAGTTCAAGCGAGCAAATTAAAATGCAAACCGTGAGTACATAATACAATTTCAGAGGATATTCTGAAATGTTCTATAAAGCTAAATCCATGACGGTTCTGTCCCTATGTAGATGGCGATGGCCATTAGACAACAACACAATATAAGTGATAAATAAAGACCTGTTTTTTGTTTAAGGTTTCCATTTTTTCTGTATGAGCTTCGGGCGACATTCTAACGTACGGTTGGCAGAGCCAAGGCGGGAGTATAAGGTCGAAAGCTTGTCTTGTGACATTTTCGTCATCACACATCACAATTTCGCCAAGATGATATGGTAAATACTTGTCCCTTAATATAACACAAACTTTTTTAAAGTCATCAATGTTTTGTGCGGTGGCTAGAATTTCACGTTCTGTGTTGTTGGTGTTGAATGAAAATCTAAAAAGTATATAAAGATTATTAAAAGTAAAAAAACCTGTTAAGGTTCTGGTATTGCTGACAGGGGAAAAATCTTAAATTTACATTAAATATTTCTTAACATAATTCTACATAAAAACTGTATTTCTTAATTATAATATAATAATTATTAGCTCGAATCGAATCGAAACACTGTTGATATTATACTGTAATGAAACGCTGTAGAACTAAGTTAGCTAACGCAAATTGTACTTTTACAACAAAAAAAGAAAGAAGTGCATTACACCACTTCTACTTCATAAACTAGAACGAATATGATTTTGTTTGTCTCGGCCATTATCTGATAAATTATGACACAAAATTCAAATTACTTTTCAGATAAATGGGGATTTTAGACTGATTAGTTGTAACAGTAGGCACTACTTAAAGTAACATTACCCAATAATAAATAACAACCTGCTATCTATGCAACTAATAGTATGGCAGCAGTAGTAAACAGTCAAGAAATTCTTGGTTACAAAACTCACATTTTGTGAAATATTTTGAACAAATGACCTCTAACAAATGATGTTGGGCACGGATACTCTTCAACCAACTGAAGGTATTCAAGTGCCATATCCCAAGTTACAGGATTTATGCCTTCAAATATTGCAGGGTTTGTGAGATTTCCCTCAGCACTCATTACTCCATCTACACCGGTGTATTCCAAACATCTTATTACATCTTCTAAACATTGAATGTTTCCATTGGCAAACATAGGAATTGATATGGTTTTCCTAAAATCAAATACTACTACTACTACTACTACTATTTAACAAGAGCTAGTAAGAAATTGTTGGTATTAGCAAATTTAAAACTATTCAATTACAGATATTGAGCACTTAATATAAGTTAAAACTTTGTTACAATGTGTATAATATTATTATGTACACAAAATGAAAATCAACCTAACAGCCTTGATATAATCCCAATTGGCAACACCTGTAAGCGGGCCTTTTTGGTCCCTTGACCTGCCGTGCAGTGTTAGCAGCTTGCAACCAGCACTTTGCAACATCAAAGCATAGTCCATGGATCTCTCTATACTTTCAAGAATTCTTATTTTGCATGTTATAGGTACTGATACAGCCTTTGTCATGGTGGAAACTGGAATTTTCTTTTATTTAACATCTTTCTAGAACTCCTATTTAAAATAAAAATGTAAAACCCCAATTCCCAAATATCTGGGGTGTTGGACATTCCATTTTTCTGTCTAAAGCATTGATAATTTCAACTGACAAATCATCAGCAAGTGATAGGACTTCTAAGATGCAACTCAATTGTCTTAGGCATAAGAAATTATGTCAATCCCTCGCTCTTCAGACAATGTAAGGGAGGGCATAAAATACTGTCAATATGCTAAGCCATGTAGTTGCAAAAAAAAGTTTGTGTTCATTTAAAGTACCAATTTTGCTTAACAGATCCCAGTCATCCTGCAGAAATGCTCCATATCTGCCTCGCTTTGCAATAGACTGTGGACAGCCAAGGTTAATATCAATAGCATCACAATCCTTCTGAACCATTTTTGCAGCCTTTGCTAATGTTTCTGGATTATTTCCACAGAACTAAAATATTAAGTAATATTAAAAATTACATGAAACAATAATTATATGAAAAAGCTAAAAGCATGTAATTTTTGTGAGACATTTTTTAATACAGAATCGTAGGAACTAATTAATGCCTGTGAGCATCGAACTCACGATGATGTTTATTATATTGCTATCATCAGACCATCAAGCATACATGATGTACATATAAAGGTTTTCTTTCATATACCTGTACAATTAAAGGTCTATCTTCAGGACATGTCGTGAAATTTTCCTTTCTGTATTTTGCATCTTTGATAAAAATAGCACTGTGCAGCATTGGCGTATAACAGATAGTTGCGCCATGTCGACGGCTTAAAAGTCTCCATGCAAGTTCGCTAGCGTCCACCATAGGAGCGACGGCAAAACGTGGTCGTCCAATACTTTCATACCACTCATATGACATTCTTAAATAGGTGAGTAAAGAATCTAATTCCTTATTAATAATTACAATTGTACCGTATAGAAAATTATTGAGAGTAAATAAATAGTGATGGTTTGCTCAGTTATGTTAATGTTAAATATTTCCTTATTTAAACAACTCTCCTCTTATTTAAAAACAAGGCTTATATAGGCAAGATATATTAAACCAAATTCATAGGTAGTCTAGAGATTGACTTTAACGATATAGATTATAAATGGTAATACAGGGGAAAAATACGAATTTATAGGCGTGAACTGTCAAAATTCATCACCTACAACAAAATTCATATTGTCTCTGACGTTAAAAGTCAACCCTGTGGTGGAATTATATTCTGTATATTGTATGCACTCTGTGGAAGGTATTTTTGCGGTTAAACCACAGTAAATATACTATATAGTTTGGGTTAAATAAATTCTGGACAACTTCACTTTTATAATTTGTTCAGAAATTAAACCCGCAATATAATACCCTGTCTGCATTACATTAAAATTGCCGTTTCCAGGGCAGTGTAGTGAAGTAGGGTTGTGTAGTGAATTTGTAAAGCTCCATATAATCAACTGACTACTTTAAGATATATACTAAGAGCAAGGGAAATGGCTAGTGACTTAATGGTAAAAGTTCTTAATTCCGACACTCACAATGTGTATTATTACATTTTAATGAAATTATCATATAATTATAAAACGAATTCTTTTTAGAGCCAGTTTTACACAACCTTAAAGTTACCTTTAATAGAAAGGGTAAGAGAACTTTCAAGAATTTTGGACCAAGTTGGGCCCAATAAAGATTGTCAAGCTATATTTCCACAGCTGGTTGGCAATATATTTGCTCCACCAGCCAGCAACGGTTGGGCTTTGGGTCACATAACTTACGAGCAGAATAGATATGAATTTGAAGTAATAACAAACTTTTTAGAACCCCAAGGACCACTATTTCGGTTATGTTACAAACTTTTATCAGACCCAGTCCTAAAATATAATTTGCCTTTGACAATGTTACCTGTGAGTATTTAACAGTTTTAGTGAATATAAGCACATATTTGGTACCACTTCATTTATGTTATTCTATTTTAGCTGGAACTACAAATCATGTTGGCAAGGGGAGGAAGATTTCCCCATTTTTACTCAGATATGATGACCTTAGATTCTAACTCGCTAAATGTTATAGCATTAGCTTTGAGTATCCTTTTAAAAACTAATAATTAAAAATATGTAATTACTATAAAAGAATCTAAATAATAGCAATTTTGTGGTTACAAGTAAAATTTGTAAAAATATTATCTTGCAGTGCGTTTAGTAAATAAAGCCTTAGCGTCACCCTGGAGAATGTGATAAGCTTGGTGTTTATATAGCAAAATTTACTCCTTAACAAAGCAATTCAGATCCATTTGACTATTACCTATTTAATTTTGCCTTACATTTAACAAATAATGAACAGAGCAACAGTTCCTGGGAAGTGTGGAATAGCGTATACTTTGCATTAGCCTGTGATTATCTGATTCATTTTTTACCATCTGACCCTAATACACATGTCTTGCCTCAGATTCCTCATTATAATGGGAAAGTTCCATCAGTAGCACCTCTTCAATCAGTTAACAGGTAATTACTATTTCTAAAAGACTTTACTTTTAAAACTGTAAACTTAAGTTTTCTTTCTTTTAGGCCCCTCGGCTCCCCATCATTGCTGTTAGTTTCAGACTTATCTGGCATAAGTAATCAGCATCCGTCTTCGCAGACTCAGTCGAGGAACGAAATATGGCGATCTGAAACGGTTTTGCAAATCTTTATCGACGTTTGGATGAGCGTTGAACAGTTTGACTTCAGAAACATTGACGTAAGTCGAAACGAATATAATTTGACCGAAGCGATCAATGTTTAGTACCGAACGGTTCCTGCTGAAACTAGTGTGCATTGATTTCAGACCAATCAAAAGTGTTCGTCACATTCAAGCCCCGAACGAGTGAGATTAGTGCGAGTGGTCGTCAAACACATTTACGCGTACTCTTCAAGGTACAACGCGGACTCAGCCGTGCGGTCGTCGGCCCTTCGCAAATACGCGAGGCAACTCGTGTGCCAGCGCGCCTACCACTTCGTGAAACACCTCGTCTCCACTTGGCCGTTGGACGCTTCCTTCCGACTCGTCATGGAACTGTGGTTGAGCCTTTTGCAACCGTGGAGATACACGAGTGACGTCACGCGAGACAGGTGAGGTTCACTTCTTTGATTATGAAAGCTTTTAGTTTGGTATAGGAATAAAGATACCTGATATTTCTTATAAATTTCAGCTTCTCCCATGCCAATAGAAATCGAGACGAAGGCTCCGGTGCCGCTTTGGATCCGAGTCATATACAGTTCATTGCCGAGAACTTTCCATCGTATACGTGCATACTGCAGCTGGTCTTGCCGAGATTTGCGCGCCTCGACTTGACCACTTACAAAAACGCCGTGATGCTGTTCAGAATGGGAAAGGTATGGTCGCGAGCATTTGTTTGTTGAAAGACCTCTTCCTGCGATAACTTTTTCTTCAAAACTAATTAGCGAGTCTCGCGAAGAGGTGGCGTTTGCCACATCCAGAAGTGTGACTTCAATTTATTGTAGCTACTATTTAGTCACACGAATAAATTATGTTCGCCCATTTCACGTATACGATTGGCGAACTAGATGTTACGCTAGCAGTTGGAAAATTGATTGCAGATTTTCTTTCACAAAGTAGCAAAAAATCTAGGCACGATCTCGTGTAATTTCAGGTATTTTCTCAACCACACCTTTTGCCAATATTGATGGCTTTGGAAAAGGGGGTAGTGGATAGTATTTCTGGCGCCATATATACGGTCGATAACAGTTTCGACGCGTCTAATTTGGATCAAGGGTAATGTAGATAATTTGTGAACGCTTTTAACATTCGTACGTGGCATTAAGGAGCCGTAATAAATAAAAGGATTTCCTTCTAGTTACACGTACAACGGTGTATCCCTCCACAAATGGGTATCGATCGCAAAACAGGCCATTTCGGAGTTCAATGCGATGGCTACTTTTGAATACGATCCCATTTGGACCGACGGTAGGAAGAGGCCGTACATAGAGTTTGTTAAAAAAATTATTTCGGCTAAGACCCTATCCGAAAAGTTAGTGGACGATTACAGAAATAAAATCAACAGTGAAAACCGAGGTACGTATCATTGTGCGGTCTCAATTCTCGGACAATGGAAAGTATAAGACGTGGAAGTCTCCGAATTTACAAAAAAACGAGAAAACTTCTTCAAAATTTTCAGGATTTTGGCGGCATCTTAAAGACTGGTTTTTGGTTAACCACCATGAGGACAGAATTTTATTAGAGGAGTCGGAGAAAGTGCCCGCGTACTTAAACAATTGCATTAATTATTTCACTAATATTCTCATGGTGAGTAGTAGTAGTAACCGTAGTAGCGGTATTTTTATACGCATCGCCCCACGCGGAGTAGTAATGTCGTTTTTTTATTATTTCTGCAGTTAAACGATACTACGATACTACCGTTCGAGGTTGACATCATGGATAATTCAACGGAGCATTCGTCTTTTGCGAATTCTAACAATTTTTCGTATTCGATCGCTCAAAAAGTAAGTACGACTTTACTATAAACAAACATCGGCGCTAAGTTGCCTCGCACCCGCACTAATGCTCCAAACGTCCTTTCTAGTTGAGAAGCAACCCAACGGGATTGAAATACTCCGGCGATCCGGACCTAATGCCCATAATGTCCTACGAGAGCACGATCCTCGTTCGTTTCCTCTACCAATTGGCGACGAAGTTGAATGAAGCGGTGAGTGCGTTACTTATCTTTCTCAATTGATATCTCCGTTTTACATTGTGTATTGCCCGCACTGCATGCTTTGTTTAAAAAAGTTATATTACACAATATTTATTGGAATGGAATAGAGATCTCTTACGATATTTACTTGGACGCTGTTTTCATTACATTCAAATTAAGAAATACTTTCAGTACTCCGACGAATTCGCGAGGCTTTGGCGCCGAGACGACATCTGCGGGTACGTGGCCAGAGAGGTGTTGCAGAGGCCGCTGACCATCCAGACTTACATGAAAGATGCGACCGACCATCGGAGCTCGGTGCTGAAGGACCTCCCGCCGCGAATTTCGTTCAGAAGACTCGCCTCCAACGCGTTCGTAGCGTGGCTCACGATCGGTTACGTCGTTTCTCGCTTTCTGTCTTACGGTGGATTTGTATACATATTTGTTCTCATAACCATGTTTTCCTTCACCGTTGTGACGAAGGCTTCACTGAAGAGGTTGAACATAATAAACGCGTGATATACAATGTGTGATACGTTTTATTATAATTAAGCCGTACAGTATCTCTTGAGCGTCGGTCTGGGCACGATGCTCATAGAGGCCAGCTCCCGGAGTGACCACTTATCGCCCGCAGTGGCCGCCGAAGAGCGCAACAACGGTCACATCACTAAAATTACGGGCCCAGAATAAAATAATATAAGCTTCGAGCGGTTCGCCGGTTAGACCCGAGTAGAATATATCTCTTCCGTGATAATCGTATATGTGCTTTTCTAGTTCTCGACAGACGTCCTTCACTCGGGACCCACGGAACGCGGTACCTGAAGTAAGAGAATATAAATAAAAATAACACAATCCAGAAAACGCGAATCAAATGAATATTTGATAGAGTGGGTGAGAAATTACAAATTATATATGATATAAAGGACAAATATAGAAACACGGTTTACAAGATGCGACTATGGAGGAAGATAGCTCAAGAAATGAAAACGACAAGCAAGCCGATGGCGGCTCTGTAGTTTGTATGAGTTTTCATAATTCTTAGTCTTCTTCGGTTGTAAAGCAGGAACCGCCCTTAAACTGCTTTCTGACTGCTCATGTTTCTGGTGTGACGTCAACTGGCCTGCCCTCGCTTTTGGTGTGCCCCAGCCTTTACTTAGTTTATTATCTCTGGTTATTTAACAAGCGTAATTTGATTAATCTTCATTCAAATTCATTAATGAATATACAACAAACTTCAGCTGATTCTAAGTTTTTGCGTTTTTTACTTGGCACTGTTAATAAAAATTAATAATATATATTAAGATTGACTCTCAAATACGTTCGAAGCAGGAGGAACGGCGTGGTTCACTCTGTGATTATCCTAACTTTGAACAATTTTACAAATTTTTTATAGATCGTAAGACAAAGCAATAATTAGTCGAATTTAGATGTAAAATTATTGTTTTAACGTTATGTTCATTTCCTACGATTGAAGCACAAAGACATTGATATTATTACCGGCTAGTTAACGGTTTAAAACGATTACTGAACTGTTTTATAACTTTAAATTAGGTAGAAATTATTTGTGCATTTCTTGTTACAATTTACTTTTACTCTACAATTAAAGCAATTAAAAGACATGGACAATATGTATAAGTTATTTTCAGTAAGCTCAATCATTTAAATAAAAGCTCAATTCAGTTTAATTCACACACAATATTCGTCCTTTGATCTATCAAATGACTTCAGAAATAAAAGCGCCTTCTAAAAAAATATAGCAATAATTAGTTGAATCTACACATTTCTTGTTTTAACGATACGTCAATTTGCTATGACACATTAAGCTTATAAAGCTTAGGTCTTAGGAAGCTCTCGTTTGAGTATAAAACTGACCGGTTTAAAATAATCTTTGAATAATTATAGATATCTGAGAAGGTAAAACTTTGAATTATTGTAAGGCAGAAACACCAACTTTAAACGGTTGAAGTACCTGAAGTATAGAATTCGCTCATAAATAGATATACCGACTCTGATCTCATGATCACTGATCGGTTTTGTTTACAGGCAAGTAGTTCAGATTCATTGCCCTGCCCGACCGGAACTACCTGTTATTTCTGCAGGATTCGAACTTTCCACGTTTAACGCAATGCTAGACAATACGTTTACCCATTTAGCTACAGGGGCTGTTTGGTCGAGACATCTACTAATAAGTTGAAAGTGACATTAACCAATGTTAAGACATAAAATGTAGGTTTTTTTTTTATTATTCGTCACAAATTTAATATGTTTTTTGGTAATCATCATAAACAGGACGTTTGTCATATGTGTGTCAATTATTTATTAATATTATTTGTATTCTTAACCGTTTCTATCCAGTTTTTTCACCTCGAGAAGAAGTTAATTCGTGCGAAGCGACCGTCGGGCGGGCAGCGTACAGTGCCGTTCCGAGCGTCGAGCGTGCTCACGCGCTCCAGACCCCTCTAAGCGAACAGACAAAAATGTAGCGTATTTCATTGTTGACTTTTATCGAGAAAGTTTGCCAAATGAAAACCTCTATGGAGTAGCTCGACATCTGACTGGAATCCTACAAACTGAAAGATGTGCTTTTTGAACGTCCTTCGGCTGCACGTTTCGCAAAATCAGCGCCAGAAACGACTGTACAAGCAGTACATGGAACAGTTGGCCGGGGCGTACGTGGAGAAGTGCACAGACTTCACTCTGCGCTGGGATTCCGGGGTTCCCGGGATCGCCGGGGTCGCCGGGCCCGAGTGGAGCTATCCCGACGTAGGAGCGTCGACCGGCGGTCTCTCCGACTCGGACAGCGGCAGATATTCCTCTCCCTGCTGCTCGGAAGTGATCTTCAACGGAGGTCAGCATTACGGCGGGAAGGGCCGCGCCTCGCCCAAATTTGCAGTATGCTATCCTGGAAATTTCGGGTAAGTCCACGTAGAATAGCAACGAGCCAGGTGTTGAATTCGTGAGAAACCATCGTCTTCCGAATTGGGGATGTTAGAGTCGAGAGAATTGCGCACTTCGGGTGCAATTCACGATTATTGTTGCTCTCAATAAAGCGAGCATGACGGTGTCGTCTTCGGGTGAAATAGTCATCATCACCAAATAATGCTAGATTAAGATAGGTCCGTGGAAAGTCTTCGAAGTCTCGTCGAGATCAAAACAAAGCGTCCGCGTAGCGTGCACGTTTTGCGACGCATTGTTCACGCTCTGACAAGTCGAACAGAGTTTCTTATCCCCGGTATCGATTTAAATTGCAAACCATTTCCACGATCGCCGGATTGTACGGAATTGTTTGCCGGCGCGAGAGACCGTGATATGAACGATTTAGGTCGGATCGAGTCCAGCCTCGCATAGTCATAGGACCTCCCGTCTTAACTTTCAATAGAAATGGTGATAAAATGCAACTGAGAGAATCTCGATCTCGCATTTGACCCAAATGAAGAGAATCGATTACGGATTATACAATTTGTAGAAGCTCAGCCGTGCGGATCGCGGCCGAGACTCGGACAATGTTTGCATTTTAAACTAAGAGACTAAATTAAATAGATCGTAATGAAATAATTTTGCCATAGAATACGACTTCTAACAGAAAACGGAAACTTAAAAACCAATCTGTTAGTTAAGGGAAATTATTTTGTAAATTTTAAGATTAAGATAATTTAGCTCATACTTCAGATTTTTTATGGAATTTCGGCTAAAATAACAAATGCTGAAATAGTAATGTTCCAAACTGGCAAAAGACAAAACATAACATTCTTTACTCCGTGTGATTGGCCATTGTACGCGAGGGCCTTTTGTGGTAGACAGCGACTGCAGTGGCCCGCGGCATAGCTTTGCGTAGAGCCATGTACTTTAAACTGTAATTTGAATCTTCGGTAGACCGTAAACGTCAATTTACTCTCGATTCTAGTCATCAATACTCGAGAAAGTAAAACTGTCGAAGGGATAGATAGATAGAAAATTCGAAATTTTGTCGAGTAGGTTCATTGACATTATTTTTTACGTCTAGCAAAAGTACTTTATAGCATAAACATGTTTACTACTATAAACTAGCAATGAAGCTCTTTTCTAAAAGTTTATTCCGAGCAAATTCAGGTTCAACCTCGATGCTTAACTCATCATCACGTTTTACTGACGTGTAATATTCGTTATAGTTTTGCTATGCGCTACGAGATGGCGTACCGAGTATATGTTCATTTGCTATATTACATTGTTAGACATAAAATAGAACCGCAGAGGAAAGAAAAATTTGAATTCCAATGTGTAATAGAAATTATAATTATGTATGATTGTTATATAAAAAATTTTTTTTTCACCGAGTCTCGTATTTAAAACACTGTCGCAGTGGTGAAGTCGTATTGACGTGGCTCGCCATGAACAATTAGCACGAGAACACTCGATAGCAAATTGTGCAAGTCGTTGCTAAAATTCCGCTTTGCGAGGGAACATCTAAAGATATTAATGAAAGATACATTTAAGTCGTTTATTACGGTCACTGCAGATACATCGCGGACTAATTTACTATTCGTATTACGTATTCATACGCATCAATTATATTTTAAAAGGGTGTTTTAAAATAATACATACACTACATAGCCATTACATTACGATCGCATAACGCTTTTACGCAATTCAGTTTTCATCCGCGTACGTCTAATGTTGCACATTTTGGCGCTATTTTATTTCTTTAGGAATGAAATTTATTTACATCCCAACAACAAAAGTATAATTCAAATACTGAAATAAAATCGATCAATCTGCCATTTACCTATGTCGGGGTGTAATGGCTAATTGAGTGGGCGTGGTCGTTATACTTTTAAAATCTGAATGAAAACCGAGAAAGGTGTGTTTATTTAGAGACTATCATTTTAATACGTTTAGAAATCGTGACATTCTAACGCGAATTCCTCACAGCTTCGGCGTAGGCGTCGTTCCCCAATCTCGGGAACCATCCGCGGAGCACACTTGAATCATTCGGCCCGCTTTAATAGCGTTTGTAATGAAATGTGGAATTATGAAAAACACCTCGCCGCGTCCAATTTAAGATCCGCGATCGCCTACTTAATATGCGCAAAACTGGTCTCCTCGCTTTCTCGAACTTTTCATCCATCTGTATCTAGGCATAAAGGCATCATTTAATGATAATTTGTCGATTTCGATATTGAGCTGCTCATGTGAGTATTTCCTTGCTTGTCGACCACCTCCGCCGAGAAGCCCAAACAAATTGTAGGTAGGTTTTTCGTTAATAAATTGGAAAAATATTTCGACTCGGGCAGGACTTGAACCGGCATCGTCAGCGTTCCGTGCTATCGCTCTACCAATTGAGCTACTGAGTCCTACACCTCATCGTCGAATTTTTTTTTAACTTATTGATACATGCACCTCTCGCGCAATGTAATTTCAACCTTACGCAAGTGGCGTATTAATGTTAATAATAATGAAGTAAAACAAATATATATTCATATTTTTTCAATTTATTTTCGATTTTTAAATTATATAGTGCCTTCATTCATTGCACACAATAACATGTAAAAAATAATAAAGTTTTCTTTGTTGTGCTTTCAAACAAAGTTCGTTTTATTAGTATCTCGTAGTAGGCGTTTCTGAACTTTTAAGGGGTTATAAATTAATAATTTTTCTAAGCACCGATGGAAGCTTACACCTTAGCAATACCTCAGCCCTATATTGTCAAATTGTACTTATATAAATACTAGCTGTGCCCGCGACTTCGTACGCGTGGAATAGTTACTTGTGGTAGAATTTTTAAATATTTAAGCTGCTTATTAATTTATGTAAAGGCGCATTTAGGGCAGCCAATATATGTTGTAAGTGCTACTTTGCCGCAACACTCTCACCTCACATCACTCCTACTTTAACTCCCACTCTCCCTTCCACTCCACTCGCACTCCCACTCCCAAAAAGCAAAAGAAGAAAGTTTCATTGTTCTAGCTACAAAAACCACGAAATTCCATACAAACTTTCATCCCCCTTTTCAACCCCTATCAACCCTTATTTGGGATTAAAAAGTCTATGTCCTTTCTCAGGCTCTAAAATATCTATTTAACAATTTTCATTTAAATCAGCTCAGTAGTTTCGGAGTTAAAGCCGGACAGACAGACAGAGTTACTTTCGCATTTATGACATTATTAAAATCTATAATTTATGTAAATAAAAATGTATAAATGGTAAGGATAACAACAAGGTTTAATTTTGTTCGGCATTACTATCAATTTGTTAAAAGTAATAAAGTAGTTATAGTGACGTAACTACAATAGTTAGCCATATGGTCACGCGATGTTTTTTGTAGATATTGATATCTAATATAATATTGTCTACTTTGGCATTTATAATATTAGTAAGGATTTATTATAACATACCACAAAACAAAAAATATAAAAGAAAAAGTAAATATATTCATACCCTCCTACAATTGTTCACTAAACAGTGGTAATGGTTGTTATTGTCCCTATAAAGGTCTTTGTAGAATTATACCCTCTTTATTCATTTTGCAATCGAGTGATTTCCACCCGCACATATGTTGCATAACTACCCACATTTATTAAAAATTCCAAGTTTAGAAGTAAATGACGCTCTTACATATATCTTACAATCTATAAAATAGGTACCTTTCTAATTATGCATATATAAAAACACAGTAGGTACGGTTTATTACCTTTTTTTCGGATTACTAACATATTAAAAATAGATTTTCCATTGTACATGAAGTTAAATATGAAGCTGTAGAGATTTATATGCGGTCATATCTTTTTATTTTACTCCAATCTCACAGTGTTCGGCGATAGCCGTTCTTATAAAATACCCTTTTGATACGAATAAATGTTGAACTAATTCCTAGATATTGAACCTCTAATAAAATCCTTAGATTTTTTATTTATTCATATTCCGTACTGCAGCATCTAAGTCTCGTAGTCATGTTACTTTCAATTCGCGTCACTAAGTCCAAACATTACCGTAACCGCGAGCCACACTCCGAGGAACGCGACGCGCGCGATATCATCCGCGCACGCACTCAGTAGGTAGTTGTTGGACGATATGTGCGCGCGCGCGCCGCCTTTTCGCGTTCACCACTTGAATGTTTCGACACACAGAGCTTTCTGTGCTTTTTATTAAATGTGATCAAAACTTAGACTTGAGGATCAGTGAATATGATTTGTGAAATATATAGTGTCGTGATATCCGTGGATTCCTGTAGTCCTAGTAAGTTTTCAAAGAGTACTTTGCCATTTAGTAACGTAAAGCTGCTTAAGCTGTCGTCTAACATCTCACGTTGTCCGTTTGGACTGACTTGGAACATCGATATGTTCAGGTTCTAGATATAAGAAAATTGCGACATCTCCAATTCCCCTATTATAATAAGCGATTATGTCGTATGTCGTTACGTGAAATGGAAACATAACCGGGCATAATAATTCATAATGATAGATTTTTAATGTGACGTTACATCACGTCAATAGGAAGAAATGGACTGTTTACCACGTAGTAAATGGGTTCCGTAAGAAATTAATACTATTGCATACGGATGTCTATTGCTCTATTCACTATTGGCTATTGCTTTTGAATGGTTTTTTTGTAATATAGTGATATTCGGTCGGCACATGCTGCCTACGGGGCGATCTTATTCATAAAACTTTTGAAGCTCTCCATCCCTCGAGAGGTTATAGATCACATATAATATTTGAAATAGAAAAAAAGCGGAGCGTCGTGGTGCAAGTAGAGCGTGTTGGGCTGCCGTTTTTAGCTCATCTAACTATTATATTTAGCCAATTATCATTATATTTACAGTTGCAAAGCGCGATCGCTTCAATTACTTACTTGTGAAATTAAAAAAAAATCAAAGCCACTCGCTCCTAGAATTCTGTGAAAGATTCGGCCTAACGACGAAGGTGTCAAACTATCCATTATTA